TAATTCCTGGCATGAGGATTTAAGAAGATTAAAATCAGCTAATCCACATAAATCTCATAAGACACTGTTTTACAGAAAATAGATCCCCAGTTACTGTTAGCTTACCTGGTAGAAAGGTCTCAATGACCCAATAGGATGGTATTGCATAGAAAGACATCTGGCAACCATTCAGAGGAAACTACTTTCACTGAAAAGCACATTTTAAGATATGAATATACTTAAGAAAAAATAATCTTAGATATGATGTTTCATGACATCTACTTTATAATGGTATAATGAAATTTCACTCTGAAAAAATTCAAATACATTTTCAGTCTATCAAAACTACTTATCAGGTAAAGTGTCTTAAGTGTCCTAACATAATAATACGAATCTTTCTCTCATGATCCAAAAGATACTAAAATAAAATAGATTACTACATATACATAAAAAGTTTTGAGTATGAATAGATTTTACTTAAATGTTTTATATGAGAAAACACTTCTGATATCTTAAATATGGTGTCTTTCTTTATCAGCCCTGTAGTGAAATTTGAGGGTGAGAAAAGGCCAGGCCAATGTTGACCGGTTTCGAATATCAAACTATGCTATTAGGTCAGTGCTAAGATCAATTAGCACCTTCCAATGACAGAAAAGGTTACAGTGAGATTTAGAGGTGACTCTTAGAAACTGTCTTAAACCACCATGTAAATGTGGTCTTGAAGGCTCAAAATGGCTTCTGCTTTTGAAAATTAATGTTTCATCTCTTTCTGGAAAAGAGAAAAGACTGTTCACTTTCTTCCTTACTAAACACATGTACGGGGCCAGAGTAAAGCTCAGAAGTTCAGCGGAAAGCAACGCATCACCAGGGCATGCACTAATGTGCAGTACCACAGCAATATTACGTGATAGTAATGTTTACAAAGTCTTCAGACCTCTTAAAAGCAAGCAAAGTAACTTGTGCTGCTTTTGAATATGTGACTTTTGTTTATTTTCTTCCACTCAAGTTCAGGCTCAGTGACGCCAAGTTTGACTCCAAGCACAATTTAATGAATATTCAGTGTCCCCTGCATTCAAACACATCAAGTTGCAAAATGCAGCACTGAACATTGTACAGTTGAACACACCATTGCATCTCACCCATCTGGAGGGTGAATGCACTGAAGGGAATGTTGGATCTTAGTTCAGCAAGAAAATTTCATGAGAGAAGCAGGTACACACCATCGTCATCCATTCTGGGTGGTGTTGATTTCCTTCACCTAGTAACCATTGTAATAAAATCCCCCAACTGTACTTCTGAATACAATTAGCTTAAGATATTCCTACTGAGACACACAGTAAGAGTTTAAAATATGGAAGGATAATATCCATTTGAAAAAGAAACTGTCAGGATTATCTTTTCCCTGAGAAAATGACAAGGTGTTTCATAAAGGTTTGCTTGGTTCTTCTATGACAGGGTTCTATAGTTTTGATAACAGACTTTTCTACTTATTTCTTAAATGAGTGATCTGAAATATTTACCGCCAGACAGTACCTAATTTTAGGTTTTAAGCATTTTAACAGCTCCATGAAATATGATCAGCAGCTGCAATACAGGACGATGGTGAATAAACTCCTTATAAAGGGGGGTTGTTTTTACTGAATGCTCAGTGTTCCTGCATTTACCCAATAGAAGAAGAAAGATAATGCAAAAACATAATAAATGTTCACATTCCTAAATTACTTAACAGTTCATTAAGTCTCAAAGGGGATTACCTACTCTCCTTATTTCTGCATAAAATCTGTGGGGTTCCCTTGCGTAAAAGTGAAATAAATTTAATTGTATTATCTGGAGGTTGGAATGTGAATTTTTCCAATACTCTAACTTTCATATCAATAGCTGTGAGTCTTCTATCATCATACCTTTTCAAAAATTTTACAGATTTAACTCCAGCTCATCATACTTAAAAAATGAAATACCAAGCCACATAAATATATTTTTAGACATGGCATCAGCCATGTAGAACTTGCAACAGAGACTGAAAACATGAGACTGGACACTGCATTTGCCATGGCCATGTAAAATTTATTTACACCTTAAATCACAATATAAATTTTTTTTAAGAACTTAAAAAAGGAGAAACTGTTTTTAACACAGAGAGATTTAAAAACACTAAAATGGCAAACTGCTCACCAGCCAATCTCTCTTCAGAAATAAAATTTTATGCAAAGAATTTTTTCACTTAACTTTTAGAAATTGTCTAAACTTTTGCATCTGTATATTTAATGAGAATAAAACTGTTCTTAAACCAATTTCTTTTCATACAAGTTCTAGGGTTTAACATTTTAAAAACTTAAACATGCTAATTAGCACTAGTGCTAATGTGAATGCATACATACATCTTCAGTTTGGAGATGAGAAATTAAATTTGTAATGTTCAACAAAATTAAACAAGATTGAATACATCTTACTTATTGTAGTTTTGAAGCAACCTATGATTAAGGTAGCCTTAAAATGCAAAAGCATGCTTTTTTCCTTTGCAAAGGAAAAAAAAAAAAAGGCTTCTGAAAACCACATTGATTTCAGGCATTCACTTACTGTGAAAAACAAGGACATCCCTAATCATGAGAATAGGAGCGGCTTCAAGCCAACTCAATTATGTTACTGCTAGGGCTATTACTGTCAAAGGTTTTGATGTTTCTTTTAAAAACATTTCTCTTACAGACATTCCAAAATACTTTTTACTTTAACTTTGAATTACTTACAACTTTTAATCAGGTGGAACAAACTATTTTTTATGGTTATAACAATGGTAAAAATGGGTGTATCTACATCTGTGCTGGGTATTGTTATGATAAAAATCAGATTTTGCCTGTTGCTCCACACAAAACAGTCTGTCTCTTGTTACTACTGCTTTTTATTTCTTGGGCTAATGCTATTTTGAAAAAAATATATCAATGTTACTGAATGCAAATCTCTTAAATCGCACCCAAAAAAAGTACCAAATATTTTGTTTTAGAAATCTCTCCTCTCTGCCTCTCTTTGTTTCAGATTCTTAGGTATAAGCTTGAATATATATATATAATATATATTATATATCGAACAAAAAGAGAAGGCACTTAAGACTAGGCTCTACTGGGAATTGTATCAGGTACAATTCTTGTCTTAGAGAGGTCTTAAAAATAAAAAATAAAAATTCAACAAACAAAAACGCCACGGTCCATTTTCAATCCTGTCAGTCACCTATGTGTAAATGAAATTTCAGAAGCTGTTGATGTGAGCCTGCAGTTGCTAAACGCTCCTAAAGACTCCCACCTAAGTCCCCCAGGAGCCGGCGCTGAAACTGACAAACGCCCTGAGGGTGCAAAACGGCGGCGACGGCAAGCAGAGGCGCAGCAAAATGCCATATTCCCAAAGATGCTTTTCTCTCCAACAATTACGTTGATCCCAGAGTGCCAAGCCAAAAGGGGTAAGGGAGAAAGAAAACTGTGAAGTATGCGCTCTTAATGTGAAACCCAACCTGTTGGATCTCTTTAGGTATCAGATTTTGGAAGTGTCTGTAATGACAGCCAGGAAAGCAAATTAATAATGGCCAAGGGCCCACTGGGTTTGAACACGAGACTCCTGTTACCTCCTCACAGATCAAGTACACAGCACACACACGCACACGGAGCTGCCCCACGTGGAACTGCTCAGAAACCAAAACATACGCCTGGACTAGTCCGCACCTAGGTGGACGGGACACCTGGATTCACACCTTCCTAGCTGCCCTAGGGTTAAGGAGGATTCTTGAGCGGTGGGTAGGGACCGGGTAGCGCTGGGCGTGAGGGAGAGGACAGCCATGGGTTCTCAACCAAATTCCCAATCCTGTTAGCCTCCCGGGAAACTGGAGTGCTAGAGAACCCGGACACTAGCACCCCAACCAAGGGAAAGGTGATAAAAATCAAACTGTGTCCTCTTGGTTTAGCCACCTCTCAGTCACCAGCTCGGTCCAACACTCCTGAATCTCTCCTAGTGAATCTTGTATAGAAAGAAAAGAAAATCATTAAAAGTGGAACGAAAGAGAGAGAGAGAGAGAGAGAGAGAGAGAGAGAGAGAGAGAGAGAGAGAGAGAGGGAGGGAGGGGAGGGAGGGGGGAAGAGAAAAAGGAAAGAAAGAAAGAAAGAAAGAAAGAAAGAAAGAGAGAGAGAGAGAGAAAGAAAAAGTTCGGGTTGCTATGCGGAGCACAGTGCAAGGAGCGCAAGTCCCACTTCACCCTGCGAAACTGGAGAGCCATTTCGAGTCCCACACCCTCCCCAGACCCAGCGGAATTAGAAAGACAAAAACCTGCTCTCCCCAGCCTGGTCTTTTCGTTTGGAGAGGTTATTACCGCTCCAAGGCATCCGCGTCTGGAGCCAATGAACGCGACTCGCTTGACAAGGAGCCTCTAATTTCAACGGTCCTTGGCAAACTGCGGGAGACATTCGGCCCACGCCACGTGAAAAGGATGAAAGTGCCACCGCCGCGGTTGAGACCGCAGTCAGGACCTGGAGATCAGAGTCCGGCCTCTGACCAGACAGGAGCACCCGCCTCGGGCACAGCCAGGCGCCCGAGGCCCTCCAGGGGACCCTGGGTCAGAAACCTGGCCCGCGCCACGTAGGGTAATCACAGACTAATAAATGTCACGGAGTGGGTGCAAGAGCAGCTCGCGCCCAGTGGCAACCTGGGTGCGGGATGCAGGCAGGTAGGATCCGCACCCGGGACAGGGCGACACCCAACTTTGTCCCACAGTTAGGGGCTTTGGGAAGTCCTCCTGAACTGAACACACCGCCTTGGTTCCAGTGACCCCTGTTCTGGGACACGCCGCCTTCGATCAAGCCTGGGGGACCCCAATACTCACACACTCTCCCACAGCGCGTCTTCGATCCCCAGAGCCCCCCCTCCCCCCGCAAGCCCAGCAGAGTCAGGAACACTTTTTAGGGGACAGCAGGGGGGAGGGTTCCTCCAAAACTGGAATCCCGTGGACTCCAGGATCCGCGTGGGATGGAAAGGGGGACACTTACCTTCCGTCGCCAGAGCCACCTCGGGATCCTGAAGTTCAATTGTCTGTCCCAGCCCGGGATCTGAGCTCTGATTTGGATATTTACTCTCGCTCCTTCCAGTGTCTAAGTTTTCCCTTCGCGCTGTGTCTCTGGTGAAAACAGGACATCCCTTTCGGCCACCCCCAACAAATAGCTTACACAAGTGGGGGAGAAACAGGGCGGGGTGGGGGAGCCGGCTCCGAGGGGGAGGAGGAAAGGACCGGAGCCAAAACTCGGAGCCGCCGAGTGTCTGAGAAGGCAAAAGAAAGGAGCCAGCGCGTGCCCTGCCGCTGCGCCCCTCCGCAGGTCCCGGCTGCTCAGTCCCCCTCTCTGGTGGAGCGACAACTTCACGCGGACAGGATGCAAGTTTTGCGCTCACGCCAGAGCGGCCCGAGCGTGCGCCGCTCGGAGGAGGGCGGCCTCGCACTTGCGCGCCGGGTTAGAGACTTGGGGGGGGGGGGGCACGTCTCAGCGGCCACTTCGGGCTTGGGTGGCCGCTGGGGGCGTCGCGGCAGGCAGCAGGGCCCAGGGGACCGTGGCGATGGCGCGGGCACTTCCTTTTCATTCGATCTCGAGAGAATACCTGCTGTCATCGTTTTGTTACTTTTTGCGATCTTGCGTGGGGACCGCCGGGGCTCCGGGGCCTTGGGCGTCCCTGGTGGCGCCGGGGTAATCTCCGCGCCCTCCGCGCCCTCAGCGCCGCCCCACCCCGCCCCCACCCGGCCTGGCTCGGGCCGCGGCAGCCTCCACACTGAAGGGACCCACCAGCCATCGGGCTTCCCTGTCCCCACCTGCTTCAAGGAGACGACCCGGTCTTTGCAGTAACTCTCCTGCTTCTCCCCTGTCCCTGGTGTAGGCTATGGACCTCTGTAGGACTCCTTGGCACTTACCCCAAGGGAGGAGACAGAAGGGACTTTGCCTACTACAACAAAGTTAAACACCAGTCCACAGCAGCCTGGGAAGCTGTCTCTGACCTGAGAAAGTAGACTTTTCCGTGAGCATGTATGCTTTGGAGTTATCCACGCGCAGATGAACTGCGCAGGGCCTGTGCCGGTTCCAGAGCTGGGTGCAGCTATAGGCATCCTCCCAGGCTCCCAAAGGTCAAACCGCAAAGACTAGACTTCGGAGGCGGTGTCAGAGCTTCTCAGGGTACATTGCTGAAACGACATTTTGAGCCTATGCCTTCTGCGTATGCCTTACACAGGACTTCATTTAATACACACATCCGGGCATCACCCCTGCGGGCCACAGTAAAGAAAATTCACAAATTTTGCATCCATGCAACACCTGTTCCCCAAAGCTATGGTCCATTTCATCAGCATATTCTCTGCAGTGTTGACAATGTGTATTCATGTTTTTTAAAAATTATTATCAGCACTGTGCTGGTCGCTCACAGCATACATGTATTCCTTTGATTTTTCTCGAGAAATCCACAGATGTCTTTACAATTAAACCTGTACAAAAGATGAAGAAAACCAAAGCCCAAAGAAATCTAAATAACTTCCCCCAAAGACAAACCCGGTGGTCCCTAACCACAAAGCTCATGATTCTAGAGCAAACCCCTACATTGCCTTCGATGTGACCTAAGTGATGAGAAATTAGCTCTCCTCAAAAAATTAATAGTTTAAGTATTAACTATATTCTGAACATTTTTTTCAGAAACAGTTTTCACCATCCACTTGACTGTAGTCTTATGCAACTGACAAGAACCGTCAGAATTCAGATACTGAACACTAGTAATTACAGTTGATTATTAATGAGTGGGACATGCTCTACAATGATTAAAAGGAGATGGGAAAGATGGAGCTGCACTGAAATTGATAAAGGAACTCTTCCTTCTCATCCTTAGTGACTGTCCTTTCCTGAAGATCTGTTTGGGGTGTAAGCACTACTAGGCATAACTTCCCCTTTTCTGGTTCTCCTAGTATAAAGTGTTCTGATGGTAGGTTTGGAGCAAAGGGCCTTGGGCACACTGTAAAGAAATCACTCCTGGCTTAAAGAAAAGCACCAACTAATATGAACTGAAGGGACAATACAGATGGGGGGAAATCATCAACTTTATTTTCTCCATTTTATAGAGGAGAAAATAAAGGGCTCAAAGTTTTGGGGCAACTTGGTTCCAAGTGACAGACACATCTATGGTTCAAACCACACTGATACCACTTTTAGTCTCTGTGATGCTTTCAATGCAGCCAAACAGCCAACTGGTGAGTCACAGTGTCAGCCTTCTCAGTGGGTAGCGCGGGCATTTTCTAAGAATTAGGTAGGATACTGCCGTCAGCATCCTTCTCACAAGTCACAGAGGCTCCATTTATTTTTTGCATAAAGCTTAATGGCTTGATTTTACCTTCTTGAAAAGATAGAAAGGATCATAATTAATAAACTCAAATTTCAACACTTGAATAGAAAATATTGCTAACACTGGAAAGAAATAAGGCTTTCTCATTATGGTTCATTGCCATCTTCTAAAGTAAAATTTTCAGCATTCTGACCTAGCTGCCAGGCTCCTTTGCTTCCCCATGACTTCTTAAACATCTTCCTAAGAATATGCTTGTTGCCAGGTGTGGTGGCACACGCCTTTAGTCTCAGCACTTGGGAGGCAGAAGCAGGCAGATCTCTGTGAGTTCAAAGCCAGCCTTGTCTACATAATGAGTTCCAGGACAGCTGGGGCTACAAGGAGACTCTGTCTCAAAAGACCCCCTAAAAAGAGAACATGCTTGTGAACTTATCCTCCTGGAACTTCAGAATTATTTGACAAAGCTAATTGCACAACTTCTCGACCTTGCAATAATAGTCCTAAGTATTTATATATTGTATGCATACCCCTGGGAGTGAAATAAAGTGTTGTATGTTCAGTCCAACCTTTGAAGGAAGTTGAACAGGAGTCAGAATAAATTAAGACTACTGTTACCTCGGCAAAAGTAGTCTGTTTAGACAAAGCCATTTTCCAGTATTTCCAGGTTGTTAAATACAACCTTGAGAATTATTGACATAAACCTACAATATGCTCATAGGTGTTTATTTAAGTACAATGTGTTTAAATGTGTTAAAATCTACTTTTATTATGGTGCTGAAGAGATGGCTCAGGGGTTAAGAGCACTGGCTACTCTTGCAAAGGACCCAGGTTAGGTTCCCAACATCCACATATCAACTAACAACTGTCCATAATTCCAGTTCAAAGGGATCCAATGCCCTCTCCTGACTCTCATGGGAATTGCACAACATAAATGCACTTACATGCATGCAGGGTGCACTTACATACATGCAGGCAATACATGCATATGCATAAAATAAAAATAATTTAAAAATACAATTCAAAAATAAAATCTCCTTATATTAAATGTATTTGATAAGGGAAACTTTTTATTGTCATCATAAATGAAAATCCGAAAACAAAAGATCACTTTATAAGTGAATTTATATTGAGGAAATAGTAAGGGTTTTTTCCTCTATCTTCTACAATTAGCTCACACACCAGTTTGGGAAACGTTGGTTCAAAGCATTGTTACTCCATGTGTCCCCTGCTACGGGTTTCACTTTTTTTTTTTCCTTTTTTTATTGAATTTTTAAGAATTTCATACAATATATTTTGATCATGTTTAGATCATCCCCATCCGCACCAACTTAGTACCACCAGCCCAATTCCAAGAATTATACCCTTAAAAGAGACTCTATCGATCTTAGCAGCTATCCTTTTCCAACAGTTCCTCAGATAGGCTTGGAGATTATTACCCAATTCTCAACATCTAGGTTGAGACTATCTGGCTTGAGCTTATGTGGGACTTGTGTATGCTGTCACCATTGCTGTGAGTTCAGATGAGTAACTTTCCAACCGTCTGGGAAACTGTGTTTCCTGGTGGTCATCTACCACCTCTGGCTCCTACAATCTTTCGTCATCCCCCACCACCCCTTCCACAATGAACCCTGAGCCTCTGGAAGCAGTTTGATATAGGTGCCCAATTCAAGGATTATCACCTTGCAGTCTCTTATTCTCTACATGTTGGCCAGTTGTGGGTTTCTGGGATAATCACCAGCTGTTGCATTAAGAGTTGAGCGATGCATTAATCTATAGGTATAACATTAAGTCATTAGGAATGGCTTTAATGCTATATCTATTTACCAAAATAATGGTATTAGGCTGTCCCCTATGGCCTATGGCCTGTCTAGCCACAGGTTCTGAGGGCTGATATCAATGTCAGATATGGGCTCTGTTTTATGAAGTGGACCTTAATTCCAATTAGAGAGTAATTGGTTACTCCCATAATATTTGTGTTATTATTGCACCAGAGGCCATATCTTGCCAGGCCAGTTGTTGAAGCACACAGTATTCACAGCTGGGTAAGGCTAATGATTACTTTTTTCTTTGGGTAGCATGCATAGCACCTTTCAACACTATGAAAGCTACCCAGTAGAGATGAAGCTTTGAAGTCAGAACCATGTTGATTTTTCCTTGTTTGCATTTTTAAAAACTTCCCTACTACTGAAGAAAAATGTTGCGATCAACCAATTTTCAGAATGTCTTTAAAAATTGTTACTACAAGTGTTTATTTATTTACCTATTTTTTTATTTTTTAGTGCGTGTGCATATGAATGGAAATATGCATGCCAAGGTGGTGGGGGGCAAAAGCCAACTTGGGGGAGTCACTTGATTCCAGGTATCAAACTGTGGTCCTCAGGTTTGACGGGAGTCTTTACTCTCTGAACCATCTCACCGACCCTTCAAGTAATTTTTAGACCTTGCTCTTTAATTAAGTATTGATCTACTATTGATCTAAGGTGTATTTTGAAGTCTCTGAAGTTGAGGGATTTCTTTTAAAATTTGAGATATTTTTGTTTCTTCTTATTGTTTTACTTGTGACAAAATGCAACTATTTATAAGTACATGATTAAAAAGCAAATTAAATCTCTCAAAGATTGAACCAGCAACTAGTTGCCTTCCTTCTGTCTTTCCCTTCTTCCTCTTTCTCTCTTCATCCTAGGCCTTACCCACCCATCAGAAAGTTTCCAACTTGTAACATCACCACAGCAGCATCTTCTAGCCCAGTGTGCTGATTCAAGAAGTTCCGAAAAGCTAGGCATGATGGCACATGCCTTTAGTCACAGCACTTGGGAGGCAGAAGCAGGTGGATCTCTGTGAGTTCAAAGCCAGCCTCATCTCCATAGTGAATTCAGGCCAGCTGTGGCTACAGAGAGACCCTGCCTTAAGAAGAAAGAAAGAAAGAAAGAAAGAAAGAAAGAAAGAAAGAAAGAAAGAAAGAAAGAAAGAAAGAAAGAAAGAAAGAAAGAAAGAGAAAGAAAGAAAAGACAGAAACAAAAAAAGAAGTTCAAAAGACAGTGAGACAGACAGGAACATTCCACAGCCAGACACCTGCTACCAA